GGAATTACAGAGAATCAGAGGAAGACAGGGGACAAAGAGACGAGAAAACAGAGGCAATAGAACACGACAACAAGTGATAAAATAGAAAATAAAACAAAAAAAGTAATAAAGAAAGAAAGATAGTAGGAAACGATAGAAACGAGAAGCAAGTATGTAATCAGGGCAGCAAAATGGAGAGGAAGAAAAAATGAGTCGGCAAAAGTGAAGACACTACGTAGGAAAATGGCAAAATTAGCAAAAGAAACAGGAAAGAGGAATAGAAGAAGATACAAGGAAGCCAGAAATAAAAAGACAAGAAATTGCAGTAAGAAGAGTAAGTATAAAAAGTAAAAGTTGGCAAGATTAAGCAAGGGAGAGGAGAAAAGGGAGTAACAAAGACGAAGAAAGAGAAAGACAAGAGATCGGGAATAGAGAAATACACAACAACAAGAAAGGAACAAAAGTAAGGAAATTACAAAAAAGAGAGAAGAATAAAGAAGCAGCTACAATAGAAAAGAGAGGAAAGCAATGTAGGGAAGAAAAAGACAATAAATGCGACAAATCAGTGGACAAGAGGAGAGAAGAAAAAGCAAGAAATGTAGTAGGAAAACAGCGCAAAGACAATATCAAAAGAAAAGATAAAAGAACAAAATAAATAAAAGTACAAGGGAAAATAATGAGGAATGAAAAGTAAAGGTGGTATGAGAAGCAAGAAATAAGAGAAGACAAGAAAAGCAGAGGAACAAACAGGAAAAGAAATAATAAGAGAGAAGAAACAAAAGATAGGAAAAAAATAAGTACATGAAAATAGACAAGAACAGAATAATAGTTATAGTAGAACAGTAGTAAAGAAAAGTATATATAGCAAAAGAAGCAAAAAAACACAAGAACAAGTAGGGAGAATGACAAACAAGGTAACAGAGAGGGACTAATAAGGAGCGAAAGCAACAAACACAGGAGAAGCAATTGAGAACAGAAGATACGATAGGACAAGAAAGACAAGAACAAAGCAACAAACAAAATAAGGAACAAAAGGAAACACATGAGAGCGAAAGAGATTAAGAGATTTCCATAGAAAGAAAGATGACAGTATGGCAACGTGCCAAAGTAACCAGTAACAAAGGAAAACAGTAACATGGCAAAGTAAAGAAACAGTACGAGAGAGAGAAAAGAGCGAAAGAATCTAAGAATAAAGAGGATGAGAGTTGCAGGAACAGAAGCAATAAGGAGAAAGTAGATAAGCAAGATAAGCAACAGGCAGAAGATATAAGAGAAAATGAGAAAGGTAGCAAGAAAATGAAAAGTAAAGTAAACAGCAAGTAAGAAGTAAGCAACAAGTACAAATAAGAGGCAAGAAAAAAGGTGGAAGGAAACAAGAAGCAAAATAAACTATGAGGACACCGATAAGCAGAAGCAAAACATTAAACGAAGCCAGAAAGTAGGCAAGAAAGAAGGAAAAGAAAAGAAAGAAACAGGAAACGGGAGAAGCAGAAAATAGCAGAATCGAAAATGAGAGGAACAAGAAAGAACAAAAGACACAAAGTAAAAACGCAAGAGTTAAAATGACGAAAGATGGACAGAGAAAGAAGCAACAAAGGATAAAAGGTACAGTGAGAGCAAATTACAGCGAGGAAGAAATAGAGTGGGAAGTAAGGGACCAGCAAGGGAATAAAAGAAGAACATAAGAAGGACAAAGGATAAACAAGATGAAAATGAGGGACAAGCAAGGAGGAAATCAGGAAAAAGAAACACCTCAGAAGAGAAACAAGAAAATAGGGAGCAAACCAGCAAATAGAATAGTAAGAAAAAGTAGAAATCAATAGGGACAACGAAAAGAAAAGCGAAGGAAAACACGAAGCAAAAGGAAAAAGAGGAAAGAGAATAAAGCGAAACATAGCAAGAAGTAAGTGAATTAGGAAAGTAAACTAGCAGAAAAGAAGGCGAGCAACGGAAAGGAAAAAAGAAAATAACATCAAAGAGGAAAAGATCAACAAGAAAAAAGAAAGAAGAAAGAAAAGCAGGGCGGGAGATACACAGGAGAAGAGAGAGCAGGAGCAACAGGAAGAAATGAGTAAGGAGCAACGAACAGCAGACACGACAGAAGGCAGAACAAAAAATAAAGACAGACAGAAATACAAAGTGAGTAAGCAACAATCAAGACATATATCAACGTAAGAGATGATCATGAAGAAGATCACTAGACAAAAGGGAGGTAAAAATACACGAAGGAATACAGCAATAAAAGGACAAGAACAAGACGCAGCAAGGAAAAGAGCAAGAAGAAAAATAGAACACAAGAAAAGGAATATCTAAGCTAGAGGAAAGAAAAGGGAGAAGTAGAGAGAAGAAGAGAGACAACGAAGGAAAGAAAACAGAAAAAGAGGTAATCAAAGGGAGAAAACGTAACAGTAAGGAAAAAATAATATGAAAAAGAACACGACAACAAGTGAGAAAGAGAAGAATCAAAAAGGTAAAAAGGCAGAATAGCAGGAAGA